TAGAAAGTGGAACAAACCTCTCGTCTTGCTCTCATCAGTTCCACAAGTACAGTCACATCCTCTTTCTCTTTTTCACCCATGTTAATTGAAAAAACAAATTGTAAACATTGTTTAAAATAACTCTGTTGAGCTCCTGTTTTCCACTCCCATTTCAAACACTTTCTAAACAAACAAATTTTACTGCTTGTGTTTGTTCAGTTGAAACTGCACCTGGCAAAGTCTTTAATGACATCTTAAGATTTCAGAACTATATTGGTCTCTTCTTTGCTTTGCTACACCATGTCTCAAATTTGCCCTCTCTCTAATCTTCCATTTAACATCTGTTTGAGTAGACTTAAATTTTCTGCTCAGCCGGATGACTGTGATGGTCCCATGACCGTCCCCTATATTGCTGTTCCTAAATCAACATTTGCTTACCGGCAGTACATCAAAATATTACTTCTGCGATTAAAACTGCCTCCTTACTTCCCTGCCTCCGTCTGCCTAAACTAACATCTGTCTGGTAGCTCCTGAGGAATCACGAATCTCAACTCAGTATCAGTAAATTCAGTATTTCCCTCCAAGACCTCTCTGATCCTTTTCCCAGCCACGTGGACAGTGCACATCACTTAGACTTGCTCTTTGGACAGCACTTTGAATTCTAATTTCATATTAGGTCCACATTTTTGTGACTTGCAGATACTTACAATTTCACATCTCTACCCTTTCTGTTCATTCACATACTGAATCCACTCTCACGTTTCATATGCCAGTTATTGCAGTGCTTTTCTCCAGTCCTGACAATTTACCTAACCTAACCACTTCAAGTATACTGTAGGTAAATATCACAGCCTTTCAGTTTGGCTGTGCCACCCTTTGCTGTGCATCAGTACAAAGGCACACTTTTCTTTCTCCAGCTGTACATACAATGTTTTTCTTTTCCAGTATTTAGCAGTTGCTCCTTATCACATTGCTGATCATCTACTTGTGATATTTTTAGTAATGTTTTTTTCCTCAGTGCCTGAAATGCTTGAAAAGAGCTTTCCAGAAGCATTCACAAAACTCACTTATTTCCTTTCTTCAGATCTCCCCCAAGTGCTCCCTGCTGCCAAGATGTCCCCAGCCCTGTACTGTAACTGTCTCCTGTCATGTAGAACATCTCCTAATTCTCCTGTGATCCCCTCTCTGTTCTCATCTTGTGATTTTAATTCCTGTGCTTGGAACACAGCCCATATTTTTATTCTGTATTTGAACACAGAATTATTTATTCTGTATTTGTAGCACAGTGAAATCCTGTTCTGCGACTACAGTTGTGTGCTGATGTGAGCAAATATAACTATCGTGGATTGATATTCAGAAAACAATTACAGAAGGTCAAGATTTGAGGCATTCTTAAGCAGATTTCCTGCAATAAAAATGCTCACACAGTAGATCTAGGTTGTTTCTGGTATCACCAGGGAGTTGGAAGAAGAGTAATGTCAGATAACAATACATAAGGAGTCTTTAAAAACTGCAGCAGGGAAGCTTGATCCGTGCTTTCTGTTTACTAGCATGCATTGCCAAGAAGGAGCATAGTTATGATTTTTCTATACATCAACCATATGCCAATTTGTAGTTCCAAGAGGTTTAGTGAAGGCAAAATCTGACTTTGCAGCTATTGCTGCCAAAAAGATTGATTGACTTATTGTACGCCAGTGCTCTAAGAGCTAATGCAGTTTATTGCACTGAGTGACTCTATGAAACAGGCAAGGGGTGCAGTTATGATGGATATCTGTCTTCATGGTCATTTAAGCTACTTTGAACCCACCTATCATCTCAGCAGACTGAAACCATTAGTGTGACTATTAGCATTACTCACAAAATGTATAAGCATGGTGACTTAGAAATGTATAATATCAAGGCATAGTAAAGTGAGTAAAGAACTCACTTTTGATGATGGAGTGATTGAGAGCAGCCCCTTTGTCTCCCAGTTCCCCAGAGGAAAAGTGACTGCTGTTCAATGCCTGTGAATACAAATTCCCATCTCCTCTACAGCTTTTCTTGATGCCCAGAATCTCAGCATATAGGAGGTAATTGTCTACTGGTTTTTGCTGGATGAGATGGCTGCTTCAGTTCTGTTGGGTACCGCAAATACCTATTGATATGGTTAGTTATTAAATGATGCTTTGTTGACTGTTCAACACTGTTGTTGAGTATTTTTGGAAGTTGTTAAGGGCAGCTGCAGAGATGCCTTGTTTCATACCAAGAAAGGATCCTGACTTCTCTGCCTTCCTGGAGGTTGAGAGCAGCCACCAGGCAGAGGGATGAGCTGGCATGGAGAAAAAGAAATTCCTTCTCAAAGAAGACTTCATTTTCTGTGAGGGGCAGCATTTCTGGCTGAAGGGTAACCTGAATGCTGTAAACTGGGAATAGAGACCTGCTTTGTAAAAGGCAGGACTTCATGATCCCACTAAAATGAAAACTTAATGAGATTCAGGTGAGAAAAAGGTCCTTTAAGTATTCTTTTCCACACTACCAAAAGATTTGCTTAGCAGTCCCTGGAGCAAGCATGCCAAGGCAATCTTAAAGACAGCTGGTTCTAAGCAGATGTTTTTGCTGAGATTTAGAAGGTGTTCACATGAGTGAAGGAATGATGGCAACATATACAATGAGTGGCAATATCACCCCATACCAGCCCAGATTGAACACAACATGTTTTGTTTCTTTTTTTTTAATGACCTTTGCTCCATTCTACCACAGGCAAATTGGTTCATTCATCTCCATTTAGAAGAGTATATCTGAACACTTTATGTGAGTAATTATTTGTTTGAAATAAAAGAAGTGACTGTGTGTGTCTGCATGTGTGTGTATGTACAGGCATGTGCATGTGGATGTATGCAGCAATGGAAGTGGAATGCAGCAGAGTGCTTTAACATGTATTAGAACAGCTTGACAAGCTATCTATAGGCAATGAAGCATTTGCTGGAAAAAGTATTTTTTACTGAGAGTTTCTGATGTGTTTCAGCAAAACTCAAACTCATTTTTTTATAAATAAAGAAGAAAAGAACACTATTTCTCATAATGCAAATTACATGGATTTTGCAATATAAAATGTCACTGATTTGCATTAGAAGTCACGGTTCAAAGGAATTGTGGTAAAATGTGTAAATCTAGAATGCTGTCTGATAAAATGAGAGCCAATTGTGCTGAAATACTTCTGGACACAATACAGCAGCAGAGCTGCATGACCCCTCCACAGTGCAGCAACCCACAACAGCTTTTCATGTAGAGTGGAAGAAAAGGAAAAACTCGGCTTATCCATGTCAGCTGTCTATCAATATGCAAATTTATCAGCCCATGTGAAAAGGATTAAAAAAAAATTCAAATTCTTTTCTTTACCACTGCCACAAAAAAAAGGTAAAGATGGTTTTGATATGGATAACTCAACAAAGGATTTGTCCATGACCAATAATTCAAGCAGGTAATATAAAGAGGCATCTTACAATTTCTATTGTTTATTATAGTCAAACTCAAGCTCTAGTCTAAAACAATTTAAAAAATAATGTGCTGTAGCTGGATACAAAATGATGCATTGAGTCAGTGTGCTGCATCATTTGCTATGCAGAACAAGTTCACTGAAGCTGAGACTAAAACTTGTTTCAACATGAAATCATCACAGCTGAAAGCAAAAGAAGCTACAGAAACCATAGACAATAAACTAAGGAAAGGAAAGGAAAAAAAAAGGAAGGCAGGGAGGGTGCAGGTACAGCAGGAAGCAGGTCAGTAGGTCTTCAGAACTAGAAATGTTTTACCTGTCATCCTCTTTCCCTTCCTCAGCTTGGTCCTCTTGAGCTTTTTCATCTTGCCCTGAGCCCTTGGTTTCTTCCTGATCACCGTTCTCTGCCACCTCTTGCCCTTCCCCTTTTTCATCAGTTTCTTGCTCCTTTGCTTTTTCCTCCTCCTCCTCTTTTTCCTCCTCCTCAGGAAATATTTCATCTTGTTCATCCCCTTCCAACCCTCCCTCTTTTTTTTCCTCTATATTCCTTGTCCTTCTGAGGTCAACAAAAAAATTGAGCAAGGCATGCAAAAGGAAAAAAGAAAAGGATAAAGTAAAGTTAGGGCCACAGAGAAGAGCATGCATGGACTCAAAAGAAAGGAAACATAGAAGGAATGAAACAAAAACTGAAAGATGGAAGTAGCCACACAGTAAGTCATGCTGGCTAACCCTCCAGCCTGCACCAGAAAAGCCTTACACTGGGATGTTTTCTTAGGAGAGCCTCTAAGGCCCTCTTTGAATAGAAGTTACATAGCAATACATCTCATTTATAAAAGGAAGCCATTGGACAGAAACAATATCCTAACACTGCCCATAGAAACAGATGTTGAAAATATCTTATGAAATGCATTATTTCTCTCCAGGGGACAGATCTTTGGCATTGAATTTTGCTGACAGATGTGGGTGGGTTACACCTGCTGAGAAAAATGATTTTTTGTCTGTTCTGCAGTCAAAGCTCCACTGACAGTGCAGGAGGGGCACGCAAAGGAGATTCTTTGCTCACAGGCACGCTGAGCACACCTTGCTGATGACTGAGTGGTGTTACGCCTTCTGTTGAGCTGAACCAGGGTCTGTAGCATTAACACAGACTTCTATAACAGTTAGCAGCTCTAGTTTAAAAAGTGCATTAACATGTCTCTGGCACTGTCAGTAATTTGATGTTAAGTTTCTCTTGTCAGCTATCTTAACTATTTTAAACAACTGTTACCAGGAAGTGCAAACCTAAGCATGTCTAAGCATGCTTGCTGATAGCATACGTTTGTTGCTACAACATATGCTATTGTAACTCAAAATGACAAAACTTTGCTAAAAACAAATACCATCATAAATTCAAAAAGCATGAGATGAAAAGGCTGTTTAAAGCGGTATTGTGCGCATTTCCTGCCAACTCCAACTTCAGCAATACATTCTTCTCAGTCACAAATACTGAAGCGCTCAGTTACTGAAACCCCACAGCTGTGGCTGCCTTAGGGCTCGCTGTGCTCACCTTATTTTCTTGTTTCCCCGAGGCCGCTCTGACTGGACAGACATGTAGCTCGTGCTGCTGAAACGAGAAGCGCTGCTCGTCCGAGACACTGCTGAGACATCGCTGACATCGCTGTCTGAGGACTTATTGGAAACGTTGTCTGAGCCTCGCTGAGCGTCCCGCCCCGAGCGATACTGCAAGAGGAAAGGGACAGAGATGTTGTCAGTGGCACTTCCACAGATCAGCTATGGCGATGGTCCCTGATGGCATCTAAACTGCCTGTGTCACCAGACTGCCTGAATCTTTAAACTGAAGTTTTTAACTGGTAGAGAATACAAAAAATGCCTTGCTTCATATTAATTTTACTCTGCTTTGATATCCAATTCAAGTGATTAGCTCTGCGGTTTCATCCATAGGTTAACTTGTACAAACATCCAGCTCTCCGAGGGTTTCACCAACCTGAACAAAGACGTCTGCGCCATCGCACAGTGCTCTCACCACAGCTGTTTCACCAGTGCACAACAGCACGGCGGGGACTTGGTGACGCGCCTGCGGCTGCTGGGCTCATGAAACATTGACCAGGAAGCAGATGCGCTTCACACTGCCTACAAAAAGCGTGTCTCTTTTGGGGCCTAGCCTATTTACCAGAACTTCTGGTTGACAAATGATAGCACTTTTCTTTTTTTATAAGAGAAGACAGATGAGATTATCCAAGTAAAAGACATCATGATGTAGCTCTGCAAACAAACAAAGCCCATGGCCTTCTGCATTGCGGGGCTGGGAAGTCCGAATGGATGTGAGACCAAAGAAACGGGACTAGAGAGCTAGAGATTATTTGCACTGATAATGTACAGGTGCTTCAAATGTTCTCGCTTGTGTCCGTATGCTGTCACCACAAAACCAGCAGGTGACTGGCCATCAGCAGAGCCTATGTACTATTAAGCAAAGCTGTGCAGAGGTATCCAGGTTTGATTTGATCAAAATATGGGTATTTGTTCTTGCTATCTATACCAGTAAACTCTAAAGAAATGCTAAGTCTTTGACACTCTGCACTGCACCTTGTGCATATAAAATAAATAGCAGAGATTTTTCCTCTTCCTCTTCATGAGCAGACATTTCTGTGTACACAGCAATGCAGTGGGTTACTATTCAGTAAGTATTCATCTTTTCAGAAAAACAGTTCTGCAGAACAAGCTGTCAATGAGCACCAAACTGACATCGAATGAGGACAGTATGAAAATATGTAAAGTAGAGCACAGGCAGAGTTTAAAGAAAAAAAATGAGAGGAAAAAACCTGCATAATTTGTCAGCGCCTCACTGAATTCCTGGGGAGTAGCAATGTTGGGCTCAGATCCTTTTTACAGTTTTTGAAAAACCATACTATGTGCAGTCCACAGATCTTTTGCTTCTGTGTCTTACAAGTGATAAGGGACACAGAAAGACTGCAGCATTTCAGAATAGCATTTGAGGACCTGCTATAAATGGATATTGCACTTGAAAATAATGAGTTACCTTGCCTGTTTTAAGATAGATAAATGAACCAAAGACAAGAAAAAATGCTCAAGCAGGTTACACCGCACACTTGCTGCAGGCAATGGCCAAGCACAACCTGGGCTGCATGTTTGCCTAAAATTGTTGCCAATACTGCAGCTGCCTCCCTGACCCGTCCTGATTTCCAGTATTTGTGTTCATTTACAGACCTGTCACCACTTTCTTCTTCAGCCCTAAGGTGTGGGAGAGCACTCAGCCAGCACTAAAGTCACAGAAGATCTCTCTGATCACATCATTTACAGGGTATAACATGTATTGAAGGTTTTTTTGACACCATTAATATTTTTGTTTGGTATGTATTTTTACTGATTTGGAAATGTAAAAATAATAATTTAACAACTGTTCTGACCATCAAAGATGGAGGAATGTTAAGCCAGAAAATTACTCTCTTGCAGTAATTCTTTTCAAAGACCAACTGATCAGATTTTTGGAGAAGACAAAACAGAGTGCCTTATGGAACGTGTCTGTACTCACAAAATAATAGAACATCCCAAGGTGGAAGGGATCCACAAGGTGATCCAGTCCACCTCCGGCTCCACACAGGACCACCTAAAATTCAGACTGTGTCTGAGAATGCTGTGCAAACACTCCATGAACTCTGGCAGCTCAAGGCTGTGCCCATCAGCCTCTGATGAAGAACCTGATCCTAATACCCACCCACCAGTGGGAACCAATGGGGCTCCCTCAGCCTCACCACTGCTAGTGACCCTGCGAAGCACACTGTTAGCACTACAGTTCTGATGACTGTCCTTTAGGGAAATGAGCATAGTATCAGATGTAAATCATTTATGGAATTGTTAACTGCATCCCAGTTAAGGGACAAACAATTACTTGTGGTCACCACAGAATGACAGATCTCGACCCACAGATCCCTCTCTGAGCTCCCCACACAGTCAGTGGAAATGAGCCTTTCCAAATTAAATACTTATAAGCCACAAATGCTATCAGCACTGCACAGAGTCATTGTGCAACATGCTCACAGGTTCAAAAACCTGTGGTTATGGTTTTGTCTGCTCTACTTCTACACCTGGAAAAATAATTTTCCAGTTCTTAAAGATAATTTTTTTTCAGTAGAACTGTATTGTACATAACAAATCAGACATTTTCATAAATAAAACAACCTAATTGTACTTTTATTCTTTAAGAAGCCAGCAAGTAGCAGTAATCTAGTGATAGACATTTAAGAATTGCTATGGCAACAAAAGCAAATTAAAAGCAAGTAATTCTGGAAATATAAGGGGAAAAATGATTGCCAGGTTATTACCATGCCTCTTTTTTTCTCTGTTGTATGTAAGAGTATCTCTCAGAAAGTATTTTAGATTGAGTCAGAGGGTACAGAAATACTATTTGGCCTTTACTATTTCAGGATGTTTTAGAGTTGAAATTAACTTCATCTTTTCATATTCGTGTCTTAATGTAAAATATTTATTTTTGAAAGTCCTGTGAAATATTTACACATTCTCTTAGTTACTGTCTCACAACAATATTCTGCCACAGCAAAATCTAGAAAATGAAACTAAATTGTGTACTTTGCCAGATGCCTCAATAAAACAAATCTCTCCAACTCATCCATCAGGTCTATGTCAAATGTTTTGCTGGTTTCTAACCCCAACAGTGTTCTTGATTTAGATAAAATCCAGATTATAATTTTAAGAGTATTACATGTTAGAGTTTCAGTACCTGCAGCACAAAAAGCAAAAGGAAATACTGCCTGGCTGATCGAAGCTATTATGGTATTTCAGTTTTACATCTGTTTCTGAAACTGCAATTCAATATAAGACAGTTTCCATACTGCTGCCCTGCTCTCTGCCTCAAAAGTAAAATGGCATTTATGTTGTGCAAATATTGATTTTAATGAACTGTCCACTTCATTGACTGTAAAACACTACTTTTTTTGCACAATTTTACACAATCCTTTCTTCAGTTATTGCGTGGCTAAAGTTGCCCAAAGGCATTAGAACTTCAAACATTTCATTTATTTCCTTGGTCTCATTCCACTGAGTTTCAACTTATTTTTTTATGCAAAATGTCACCTACTGTATGAGACCAACTGTTAGACTGAAAAGGTCATTCATTATTAATCAAGTGCCATCCACTCACTGAGACTCAGCTGCCACGTCCCCTCCTGCTGCCCTGCTTTTTCTGCATCTTGCTGCAGCAGCCAGCAAGTTGGGAGTACCCACAAGGGCCACTCCTGTCCCCACAGAATCACCAAATCATTAAGATGATCACTAAGATCATCTAATCCAGCCGTCAACTCATGAGCACTGTGCCCACTCACCCACATCCTCATGGCTAGTTGTTGGCTACAGCAGGACCCAGGCTGGATCCTCAGACTCAACAACTCCCTTCCACACTTCGGTTTCCATCAGTAGAAAGCACAGGCATGGAGACAGCAAGGGAATCAAGAATCATAGAATGGCTTGGATTGGAAGGAACCTCAAGGATCATCAAGCTCCAACCCCCCTGCTACAAGTAAGACCACCAACCTCTATATCTAGTACTAGAACCTCACGTGTGCTCTCCCCTCTTTGGACCATCATAAGGCCTACTCTGTAGAGAAGCACACCTCCCTACTGTGCAAGACTGTTTCTTTTTATTATTATTATTATTGTTATTATTATTATTATCATTATTATTATGTTAATAACAGCTACTGCAGGAGGAAAATTATATCCCAACTTTCCCTTTGCTGGAATTGTATATCTGTCTTACTTCAATTGAGACTCACATAATGCAGCCCAGACACCAGACTTTATGACCCATAGTGCAGTAAAACTTCCCCGCCTGCAGATGTTTCAATAGTGGGCAGCGTGCTGCAAGCAGAGGGCTCCATGAAAATGCACTCTGGCATTTTTAATAGTGAGATGATCTTGTCTTATTTTGTTGTGTTGAAGAAAAGAATAAACTTCATAGTTACAGAATCTAGCAAATAAGTTTGAGAGTTACTTAAAATCCTTTCCTTTATAGTAATAAAATGATTAGTTGGAACCAGTAACAAAAAGACGTGCTTGGTTTTTGCACCAATACTTTGTAACTGCAATAAATTATTTTCCTGCAGTGATGAATTCAAGATTGTTAAAGATGAGAAACAAATACCTATTCTGCCTCCTAATGAAATAGCCCTGCAGGGCTCCCAACCTCTTGCTCTGTGGCTGCAGTCACATCGAGCTACAACTGCTCTCACACTGTTTCTTGAAAGAAACTGCCTTGGAACTTTTAATTCAAAGGGAGTTTGTAAGTTTCCCATTACTTTAATCTACTGTTACCAGTCTTTCATTCTGGACTATATACTCGTGCAGCTTCCAGGCAATTGAAATTGTTGGTCATTTCCACCAATCTTTCTATTTTATAATTTATTTATTTATTTTTTTTTACAATCTACTCATCTTTTTTTTTTTTTTTTTGCTAGCAGCTACGTAGGAACATACAAATCTACTCAATGCTTTTACTGATCAAAATGTTGGGAAGACATTTCAGACAATTGTCTATTGTGTTACAAGAAGATGAAAGAACTGCTCTGGATTGTTTCAATAGCTCTTTGCTTCAATGACAAAAGCTCTTGAGAAGCCTGAGCACAACAACTGTGTGAAATGTTCCATAATTTTTACTGGAGCTACTGGTTCAAGCTCACAGCCTTGAAAGGCACTGTAAATTTTAGTTACCATAGATCATTTGAAGGAATGCTATTAAATTGTTTTAAAATCCTTTGCTGATTGCTGTTCAACGAAGCGTGCCATTTAAAATGAAATGGAACACTTATAAATTTAACAGTACATTTATATAAAGTAAAAGATTCTAAGTAATTTTTGCAAAGTGCTGGATACAAACAAGTATGTAACATGAACATGTATTTCTGTGTGTCTGGCACACATGT